TAAGTTTATTATCAATATTAGAATTTTCAATTATTGATTCGTTCGAGACTAAATAAATGGATTATTAGATTCTGAATTGTAAAGTGAACAATAATATTAATCTCAATATATTACCTAACAACTGTTTTCTTTCCCTAATTGTTTGTATATAGTTGTTAATTACAAAAAAATAGTGACAAATTTAATAATTTACTGTACTTACATTTGATACCAATGCGTCGCCATTTCTAAGTCTCGTCTAATTCCAATTCCATTTCTATAAAATCCAGCAACCATAAACATTCCAGTTGCATCACCCATATCGGCTGATTTATGATAATATTCGAATGCTTTATGTTCGTCCTTTTTAACTCCAATTCCATTTTTATAACAAGAACCAACCTGAAATACGCCATCAGAATACCCCATTTCGGCTGATTTTTGATAATATTCAAATGCCTTGTGTTCATTCTTTTTGACTCCAAATCCCTCTTTATAGCAATTGCCAACATTATATGTTCCTGACGTATTATCCATCTCGGCCGATTTTTGATAATATTCGAATGCCTTATTTTCATTCTTTTCAACACCAATTCCATTTTCATAACAACAACCAACCTGAAATACGCCATCAGAATCTCCCATTTCGGCAGATTTTTGATAATATTCGAATGCCTTATATTCATTCTTTTCAACTCCAATTCCGTGGAAATAACAATAGCCAACCTGAAATATGCCATCAAAGTTTTCCATATCGGCTGATTTTTGATAAAATTCGAATGACTTATATTCATCCTTTTCAACTCCAATTCCTTTTTCATAACAATAGCCAACATTATATGTTCCCAATGCATTACCCATCTCGGCTGATTTTTGATAATATTCGAATGCCTTATGTTCATCCTTTATAACTCCCATTCCATTTTTCATAGCAATCGCCAACTTTATATGATCCTGTTGCATCACCCATCTCGGCTGATTTTTGATAATATTCGAATGCCTTATATTCATTCTTTTCGACTCCAATTCCATATTCATAATTAATGGCAACATTATATGATCCTCTCGCATTACCCATATCGGCTGATTTTTGATAATATTCGAATGACTTATGTTCATCCTTTTTAACTCCAATTCCGTGGAAATAACAATAGCCAACACAGCATGTTGCATTTGCATTACCCATATCGACTGCTTTTTGATAATATTCGAATGCCTTATGTTCATTCTTTTCGACTCCAAATCCATTTTCATAGAGATAACCAACTCGAAATACGGCATAAGAATAACCTATATCGGCTGATTTTTGAGAATATTCGAATGCCTTATGTTCATCCTTTCCAACTCCAATTCCTCCATGATAACAACGGCCAACATTATATGATCCTATTGCACATCCCATCTCAGCTGATTTTTGATAATATTCGAATGCCTTATATTCTTTCTTTTCGACTCCAATTCCTTCATCATAACAACAGCCAACAAAACATGTTGCATTTGCATCACCCATCTCGGCTGATTTTTGATAATATTCGAATGCCTTATGTTCATCCTTTTTAACTCCCATTCCATTTTTATAGCAATTGCCAACATTACATGATCCTATTGCACATCCCATCTCAGCTGATTTTTGATAATATTCGAATGCCTTATATTCATTCTTTTCAATCCAATTCCTTCATAACAACAGCCAACAAAACATGTTGCATTTGCATCACCCATCTCGGCTGATTTTTGAGAATATTCGAATGCCTTATGTTCATCCTTTCCAACTCCAATTCCTCCATGACAACAACGGCCAACATTATATGATCCTATTGCATTACCCATCTCATCTGATTTTTGATAATATTCGAATGCCTTATGTTCATCCTTTTCAACTCCAATTCCATTTTTATAACAATTGCCAATACAACGTGTTGCATTTGCATTACCCATCTCGGCTGACTTTTGATAATATTCGAATGCTCGTTTTTCATTCTTTTCTACCCATTTACCAAATTGATGACAGATTGCAAGAATAAATTCGATCATGTGATTTATTTTATTTTTTAGACACCGATTGATTACATCTTCCGGTTTTAGCTGTTTTTTGGTCAAATATTCTTCTAAAATGACAAAAATCCTTTCAGTTTCTCTTCCTTTTAATCTTTCCCTGTTATAAAAATTATATAACTCTTCGGTAATTTCATCGAGAAAATCTTGCGACTTATTATCATCGTATAAGGGTGATAGTTTCAAGATGGATGACATTCTGAAAGGTTTTTTAGGACACACACTACAGTACATTGTGTGTGATAATAAAGCATATTTATGTAACACAACGCATACCGTAATTAGTGGAACGATACGTGCAAACATTTTTTTTAATTAAATCAATAAAAAAAATATATTAAATTATAAAATTAGCAAAATAATAAAAAAAATTTATTTTAAGAATGTAAAATTGTTTAATTAAATTTGTTAGGAAATTTAAATATATTTAATTTTTTTTAATAAACGGAATGTTTGATACAGTAAAACCAAAATTAGAAAATATATAAGTTTTGTTGAAATCAATAAAATATACAAAAAACAACAAGTTAATAAATAAATATAAATGGAAATATATAAATAAAATAAAAAATAAAATAAAACAAACTATAATGATACCAACAATAATAATTGCATGTAAAAATTCTTTTTGCTGACTCTTTTGCCAACAAAAAATTAGATGTTTTGAAGAAATTTTATATTTCCATAACCATGAAGGCAATATATTTTTCTTAACAAACGTTGACCTTTTTATCAACATAACGAGTAGATATTTTATGTAAAATTTTTAAAAAATTTTATTTAATAAAAATAAATATCGTTTAAACATATAAATCAAAATACCATTATAAAAATAATTAAAAAAATAAAAAATAAAATAATAAATAATAAATATATAATTTTTTAATAATATTTTTTAAATTTTACAGTAATAAACTAAAAAAAAAAAATTAGGTAATTTATTTAATAAAATAATGATTATAATATTAAATATATATAGATTGATTTTAAATAATGAAAATAAAAATAATATAAAGCAAAACTACATACAAATGTATATTGTATATACAGTATATTTATTACGTTGTTATAATTTAACCAAATAAGAAAGGTATATTGCATACTATAATACAATCATCGCGAATAAATTATTATCGATTGGAATTTATTAAAGTTTACGAATATCGCGCCGTGTGAAGTAATGAAATCAAGAAATACAGAAAATGAAATTTTTTATTAATATTAAAATTGTATAATTAAATGTAAATAATTGTGCGTTCCTATAAATTAAAATACAGATAGTAGTATTTTTATTTTCTATAAAGTGTTATGAGTTAAATAAAGTCTCCGGCAAAAAGTTGACATAAAATTTTTTAAAACCACGCGTTAAATTTTACAATAATATTCTGCTTATATAAAATTAACACAGTCTTTGTTTACGTCTTTGACACGGAAACAGTAATAGGCATCAAATGTTTGCACTTGTTCAAATTTTTAAACAATAAGTTAATTTAGAAACAATTATAGCATATGGTAATATCATATCGTTTAATTTTTTGATTCGGTTTTAACGAAAAGGTTTGCTCATCTTCATATCAAAAAATTATTGACTTTACTTTTTTATACATTATATTTAAATCAGCTCAAATAGCGTGCCAATGAGATATTTTATTAAGAGAATTTAATGCGGACAAAGGCATTCTTTCAAAATCGTTTCTGAGTTATTACGCCAATTCACTAACCCACCCTTTCAACATTTCCGAATCAACATTAATTCCATTTTCAATTATATATTCACATGCTATCTTGTTGATCAATATCTTCTTGTTCCTAGCTGTGTTGCTTCTTAAATCGTTTAACTTTTCAAGACTTTCTCACAAATCTTCCATTTTCTCTAACTTTCCCAATTTCCAATACTCATTCGTCAGCATACTGAATCCTCTACTTACCTTTTCATCTTCAATCTTCCAAATGCACATGTGTTTTAATATTCTTTCCGCTTTTTCAAAATCGTTTTTCCCGCTTAATAGTTTCATAATGTTTCCATACATTCCACTTACTCTCATACTCATTCCCCGTTCCCACATTCCATCATATATTTCTGTCGCCACACCAACATTTTCGTGTTTGACCGCGTATTCTATCATCATATTCCAAGTATAATAATATGGTATCACGTATTTTGTTGACCTTGACTTGAAAATACTTGCATTCACCTGATCCCAAAACACATTTGCCGCATTCTCTATACCTTGTGTCTTGATTACATTTCTCAGAACAATGTGAAATATCTCGAGTGTTGGTTGAATCGTGAGCTCGCTCATTGCCGTATAGAATTCTTGGCCATCTCGAAATTTCCGGCTTTCGCGAAAATCTCGATTATAATGTGAAAAGCATCGGCATTAGGGAACAGATTCGAATTCCGAATAACATTGAAATATGCACAATACATTCTTGATTTCAGGGTGGTTTGATAAGCTGTCCTTATCATACAGTATTTATTAGACGGATCATTGTTTGAATCGATAATATTCAATTCTGTTTGCACATTTTTATCACGTCCGCTTCCATAAGCCTTCATGAGAGCATTATAGTGATTAATATTAAGTTTCATGTTACTTCTTTGCATCAAGTCAATAACCATTTTTGAGCCCTCAAAATCTCTGGCTGCGCACAAACACCTTATCAGATACAAAAGGGTAACATGATCCACCGTAAATTTTTTTCGCCGAATTTCCTGAAATACTTGCATTACATTCTTTGAATTCTTTTGTACTTTCGCAAAATGAATCATAATCTTATAAGTATCAACGTTCGGTGTTAGACCCAATCGCTGAATATCAAGCAAAACCTCTTGTGCCTGCTCGATTCTTTCATTATTCACTAAGATTCGGGCCACAAAATTGTGAATATAAAGATCTTTACGAAAGTAACCCAAGAACTTGGACTCATTGTAAAGAGTTAACACGTCAGTCAAGTAACTTCTTGATAATACGTTAATAGCATTAGTCTGTATGTTTTTTCGGATAATGAGATTTGCCTATCCAAAGTTTGCGCGTAAACCATCCAGAGGTACTTAAATTTTTTTTTCCTTGCGCAATATTCAATTACTTGTCCATAAATGCATCCGAGATTTGAAGTGCGCGTGTGTTTTGACAACAGTCTTGCCGTGGTCATTTCATTCCGATTCAGGCAAGCATCTACCATCATTTGAACTAACTCAAAATCTGGACGGTAAGCAATTGCCAAGATCATTTTGATGAATAAATGTTTGCACTAGCATGGTGTAAATTTCTTCCAACTATGATTCTTGCCAGGATGACATCTTAACAACTTGAATTAGTTAAAAAATATAGACTTGTGAAGAGTAAAATGGCTTAAAGTTAGGTCTATAAGATTTGTATGAGAAATAACTAATTTAATCCAGTAAATGATATTGATTGCATTAAAGTAGTTAATCGATAGTGATATGAAAATTCCAAAAGTATCAAAATAGGTAATAGTAAGTTAAAGAATAAATTGGCTAAGGTTTTTATTGTAAGTTTATCTTTTTCTCAAATAAGAATAAGATTTTGAGTTAGTGTTATAATTGAAATAAGAGATATGTTTAGAAAATAGAAGGGTTTTTAACAAATGACTTATACCTTGTTTATTAAATACAGTAGGGAGCAAAAGTATCTGACCAGTCATAACACCACACACAATTAAGTAAACTTAAGCATCTCTTTTTTTATTTAAACTACATGACTAGCTGAACTGTTCAATACATCGTATAGTCACCATCCGAATCTATAAGTGCAGCTACACAACATCTTATACTGTCCATCAAATTCACAGCAAGATCACATGATAGATGGTTCCATTCTTTCACAAGTTCTCTCTTCAACCCTCTAACTGTTTGAATTTTCTTTTTTTGTATGTTAATCTTCATCAACCGCCACACATTTTCTATAGGGTTTTGATCTGGTGACATTGATGGCCAGGCAAGTATCTTAATGCCATTTGCTGCCTTCCATTTCTGGGCAATTTTTGAATGATACTTTGGATCGTTATCTTCTTATAAGAACCAGTCTAAGTTATCTTCACCAAAAAGTTCAGAGGCAGAAGCCAGAAAACCTTCGTTATAGATTTTATACATAAAGTTAGATCAAGGTTCTTCTGGAAGCATATTAACTTACCAAACCCTGAAGAAGAAAAACATCCCCATACATGGATCTTCTGTGGATGCTTAACAGTATGTATTATTTTTTTCTGACCAACAAATTGCCAAACTTTCCTTTTTGATATAAACAGCTGAAATGTGCTCTCGTTTGTAAAAATAACCTTGCTTCAATCAAAGTTTTGATGATTCTTTGCCCATTTTAGCCATTTTTTCTGGTGCTCTTTAGAAAGCAAAGGTTTGGAAATTTCATTCACATATTGCCTCCAGCTTCACGAAGACGTCATCTTACCATATGAACACCCATCTAAAAATTTAGTTTTCCATTTTTTTTTATATTTTAACAGCTGTTATGTCATGTTCCTTCTCTGCTATTCTTGTAATGCATTTGTTTTGTTTTGTCGTCGTAATATGTGATGACCTGCTCTCTCTTTAGTACTTAAGTCTCTATTTTTTTTATAACTTTTGATCCAATAAAAGGCAGTAGACTTACTATAATGAACCATTTTAGCTATTTTTCCAAAACTCAACTTTGGACCAGTTGGATGTTGACATAAAAAGACAATCTTGTATCTCTTCTCTAGCGAAAGCTATATTTTTTAGAGTCAAAAGTTTGTTAATATCTAGACCCTCCCTAAAAATAAGTTTGTAGACCTATAAAAATATCAGTGATCATGTATTGTGTGATACTTTATGCATAAAAAATTTGGGGACTTGTTGTAATATAGTTTGAAGCAATAGAGACAATTGGATACTTTTGCACCCTACTATATTATATTAAGTATACATAAATCTGTAAATTACAAATCTAAAATTCTATCTATTTTCTAAATTTACTAAAGATTGTTCTTATTATATAGCTTATATATGTGATGAAATTGAATTCAAACATTTTTCAAAAAACATATTATAAATAATTGGAAATTGTATTTTAATTCAAATTTATATTATTGATCAAATTTCTTTTTATAGAAATACAGAAACATATATTATGCAGCTTATTGATATATTTTTAACTAATTTGTCAAAGCTTTATTAATGTCAATTAAAAGAAATTCTAAAATTATATAATGAATTTTCAATTTAATCAATTATTTGTTATGTAGTTTATAATTAAATTAATTCCTAATATATTTGATTTTTATCATGTTACTTTTGTTTTATTGATTATTTATTTTTTATTATCTTATAGTATAATATTGTTTTTTTTCATATTTTGTAATTATTTTGTTTTACTGTACTTGGTTTTTTTTTAACTCTTAAGAATTCTATTAAAAATATTGTATATGATTTTTTTTGTACAGCTGGAAATGTATTTGTTTTAATTATAGTAATAATTTATTGGTTAAAACTTTTTTTATTATATAGTTTTAAACTTTTATAGTCCAATTTTATGTGTCTGGTAATTTTTCATATATTTGTGATTCTGTGAACTTTGTTACTATGTTTATAATTTTCTTATTATTATTTATATAATTATATTGATAATATTTGTTTGATTATTATTATATAATATTATGTATTTATTGGTTCCTATAGCTTTATTATATATTAAACTTATATTATTTGTATATATTATATTATATAATGTTTATAATTTGTCTGGAAGAAAGTTCTAGATTCCATAGCTTTAGGTAAAAACTTTTGATATTTTAATATTTAAAAACTAGTATTTTAATATGTTTATTAATGCATTTGAAAATTATAGTATCTGAAATGAAAATATAACATATATTTAGTATAAAAAATAAAAAAACTCTTTCCGCTGATCCCTTTGCCAACCCAAAAAACAGACGTTCTCAAAAATATTTCTTTATTTTTGATAATAAA